CGCGACGCGGCGACGTCGCGCACACGACACGAACGCGCACACGCACACGCACACGCACACGCACACGCACACGCACACGCACACGCACACGCACACGCACACGCACACGCACACGCACACGCACACGCACACGCACACGCACACGCACACACATGTTCGTTTACCTATGATATCGGTGATACTACTGTACAAAGAAATTATACTATGATAATATCGTAGGCTGCAGAACATTTAAATTTTACATGGAGTAAGTTTTAATTTTACATTAAGTTTGTCTTTCTGTTTCTCTTCATGTAGTGCTTGGCCTGAGCCACATTATCACTATAGCAACAAACCGTGAGTCGGTTGGCGGAAAACTATTAGCTGATTGGCTAATTCTGTTTTTCTACAAATTCTCTCGTAGCAAGTGGAAATCTATTTCGCCTAAAACCAGGCCGGGTAGGCGCACATTATGTGTGCCACGTATGGTTATAATCAGCCTGGTCGTTTAACGAGGAGGAGATCCAGCACCCAGGCTCAGGCATTGTGCTTTTAGTATAGATGCGGAATTTCAGTCAAATCCGCTCACAAAATCGTCCGCAAATCCACCCCCTCAAAAAAACCGCCGTGATCCGCAATAAGCCGCCCCAATCCTAATTTATATATATATTGTAAAAATATATAATGTTAAAACTTTTAATTGACAGCCCGCTGCCAGGCGACCTCACATCTTACGCGATCGACGTTTCTCTGACAGGGATAATCCGAATTTATATATATATATATATAATATATATATATAAAAGTCTTGCCTATAAGAGTTTCGCCCGTCGTAAATTATAAAAACATTTCCAGAACCGACGAGAAAGCAGCTAGTGACATATGCGAATGCCTTCTCGTCTCTTCTAGAAATGTTTTTATTATTTACGACGAGCGAAACTCAATTAGGCAAGACTTCCTCGTGTGTGTCTTCGTCAAATACACCCACACGGTATCGGCTATGGACGTGTGTGCGTGCATGCGTGCGTACGTACGTGCGTGCGTGAATGCTGTTGTGTGTGTGCATGCGCGTGCGTGTGTGTGTGCGCGCGCGCGTGTGTGTGTTGTTGTTGTTGTTGTGTGTGCGTGTGTGCGTGTATGTGTGCGTGCACGTATGTGTGTTGCGGTCTGTATGCGTGTGTGAGCGCGTGTGCATGTGTGTGTGTGTACGTGTGTTCGTGCGTGCGCGTGTGCGTGTGTGGTGTATGTAACAGTAATGGCCACAATTACAAGTATACCATTACCATATTCGTCGAGTCGTCATAATTATTTCATATAATATATAATAGATGAGATCAAAATTAAAAACTACAATCCAGCAAATTTACGCAGACAATTGAATTAGCCTTCATGAAAATGTTATTCTGATTGTTTTCATTTAAATTGAATTCGTAATGTAATGTCACATAAATACTGTACGTAAATCTCATGTGATCATTGTCAAGGGGTAGCGTGTTTTGTTTCACATGCGGAAAAAAATATATACTCGTCTATATATTTATGCTTAAAATAATTCGAACTGTGGGATGTAATAATGCTGCCACTATTCATCTAAAATACAATTGTTATTAGAAAGTTTAAAATTGTTATTATTTTTTATTGATGCGTATTATTATGATTAAGCAAATAGCCATTATAGTTAGGAAAATTATTTAATCTTGTCATCTTATTCACAAATCATTTTTGCCTACTTTTATTATGTCATGTATAAACTCGAACTGCAATTATATATATATATATATATATATATATAAAAAAGTCTTGCCTATAAGAGTTTCGCCCGTCGTAAATTATAAAAACATTTCCAGAACCGACGAGAAAGCAG